GCGTACGTGCGAATACCGATTACGACGAGCGCATTCTGCCTATATCTACGGCCTATTTCCATTTTATTCGGGCACGTATCACCCTGACATCTTACTATCACCTGCTGTGAACGTATTTGCTAGACATGTCCACGCGCCTGAACCTCCTGCACACACTAGAATGTCTCCCAGCTCCTTTATTTTTAATCCTGTAACGGTGACCTATGATGTCGTAAACTGACATCGATCTTTGTAAGTGCAGTAAAATTTTTCAACTTCTAAAAATAGTTAAAAAATGCAATGTGAAATTTATCTTACGTTCGTAAATATATTTTCGCAGGCAAAGAGGAGAGTCCTTTCCTTATAAGATTTGTAAAGGCGACATCATTAATTTGCATCGATAAAATCATGTAAATTATATCAATGTCGTAATAAAGATAAATTTTTAAACATAGATATGTTTTCAGATATTTTTAATAAAAATTCATTTTTGAAGGACAAATATATGTTTGACATGTTTAATTGAACGGGATGAATAATTAAAATTAGAATTAAGATCAATAAATCTTGGATGAGTTTTTGTTTCAGGCATGTTTCGAATGTTTTATATTTCCATTTAATTACCAATGTTCGTGCCGACCTTGCGCAAACTCTCTCCTGAATTTAATACTTAATTTAAGAAATATGAAATATGTAACAACTCGATATGTAAGACTGATTCTGTTTTTCACTATATGCGGCGTTTAGTCGCGGACGCTAGCAAATGTTACGTACATCAAGCATAACTGTTTAATTATTTTATCGCTTTAGCAGGTATCCTTCAGCGGAAACCGTACTTCCGGTACTTATACACCCCTGGTGGTCTCCGGAAACAGCCCGCCACGAGGCGAACCAATCTCCTTAGCCACTTTGGACCGCGACTGTTTTATCATACCTCTCGCCTCTCTCGAGCGCTTTTTACCAGCTGGTGTACCGGTAAGTTAATTAAAGTTTAGCTTGGTTTTGTTTAATGCAAATGTACACATATGTTTCTTAGGAAAAAAATATTACAGTGTACCTCAGAATTAATAAAGAGTGAAAACGCGACGCGCGTTATTCTTTGTGAAATTTAATATCAAATTTTGTTAAAAAGTCATGCTATTACAATAATAATATTCAAATTATAAATGATTAAAAAAACCATAATAAAATAATGTTTCTTATATTTTTTATATTTTAAGAACAGTAGGTTTCTTATATTTTAAGATTGATATCTTAAATATCACAAGAAATTGAAGAACAATCTATTAAAAATCAGAGGAATAAAATAATTATCCCAAACGGTTTTTAAATTTTTAATATAATTTAATAAATTTTTAATATAATTTTAATATAATTTGGTTTATTAAAATATACTTTAATAGCTATGCTTATTAGAAAGACATTAATAAAATATTAGAACGCTTGACGGTCGATAAATATATGATCAATAATTGTGAACAAATATAGCATTTGCCAAAATTAGAATTATCAAGCTATTGGATTTAGATTTTTGCGAGTCACGACTTTGCATATGAACATCTAAGAATAAATAAAACATGCTACTAGAGAAACATCTCGTAATAAATCTTAAGTAAGTAATGGTTTCGAGAAATAGTTATTTAATAAATCAATAATAAAGTAATGTATATGCCTTAACGATTCAAAAAACGGATCAACATAAAAAATTCGCGGTATAAAAAAAGGTTATTTTTATTTTTTTTATTCCGCATTTTTCCATTCGCTCGATTTTTAAATAAAAAATTGATGTGTAATTCGCAATCTGCGTGTTTTATTCTCATTCGATTCGATTCGATTGTTTCTTCGAAGCATGCTCCTGTCGCTGATAAAAAAAGGCCGGGAAGTCCTCTGTCGGTTCTCGAGGTCGAGGACCCGAAGCAATGTGTTCTCGCGCATTTTATGACGCCACTGGAGCCTCTGGACCCGCTAATGGAGTCTCCAGTGTCTCGTCCGCTGGTCCTACAACGCGACACCGCCGCGGAATTAGTCAACGAGATAGCACCCTCCGCATCGCAAAGCATTTTACTTACGAATATGGAGAAGAACGGTACGTAAAATGATTGGATCCGGAGACGATTTAAAATGATTGGATCCGGAGACGATTTAACGACAATTAAACGGCGAGTACTTTTAAGATCGTTTAGCCGAGCTTTCCCGGTGTGTTTCAGCGGATTTTCCATTTATCACGTATTATCTAATAAACAAGCAGAGCACGGACCCAATAGATTTTTACAACGAAGTGCAATGCGCGGCCCTACGTAAGTTCGATCCTCGAGATCTCCGATACGCAGCCAGTCATACGTTAGATCTGTTCAATGAGGTAGCGACCATCGCGAGACCGCCACTCGAGCCACCCGGTGGAAGACCACCCATTCCGTCCACCGGCTATATAGTGTCGATTTTTAAAGTTTTCGAGGGCGACGACGGTCTCAAATTCGAGCAAAATTGGCTTTATTGGACAGGTAAGAGTCCAGGTTTTCCATATGTTGTGTTCATTAGTCATATTTAAATTTTATTTCACCGTTTCAAAATTGATAAATTCAAAGTTTTTTTCTAGTCACTATTTCTTAAACACTCAGTTATAAAATAATAATTTAGCAGTAATTATAAGTTTACATATTCTGTCAAAATGCTCTATATACACGTATGTATACGCATTATGTAATCTTCCATCCAATGGATGGAATCCAATGGATATCGTACTACTAACATTTCATTTTCATAATCATAATAATATTCCAGAAATATTTCTATTCCAGTATTCTTCGGACATATAGCATTAATCATTTAAGGACAAATCATTTAAAAAAAAAATTGCTCCAGAAACGTTCCCAATTTCAACTAGCTATATTTTATCAAATATTTTTTCAAATATTTCTCGAATTTTAAGATATTACGCAGTAATAGTAGTACGCGAGAGTACGCAAATAACTTAATTCCAGTAATCGAAAAAAATAAATATAAAATAAGTAATAAAATGCTCACCTCAGTGGTTGCTTCGCCATTGCCCGATGCTTCGCCATTGTCGTCTCGGCCTTCTCCTCCTCTCGATTTTCTCGACTGACACTTTTTTATGTCACACACAATGCCTATTCGTGGAAACACTTAATTACAATCACACTTGTAATTACTACGACACAACGATCGCGCGATACTTAACACCGGCACTTCCGTTAATCGCGATATTAATCGCACGCGACGCGTACTTTGTTACATTCCATTTTATTCCAGGATATAATTAATTTATTTCATTAAATCACAAAAAATATCACGAAAAAAAAAAGAAGAATACCTTCGTGCGAATAAGAGAAGTATGATTTGCTCCGTGTTTGCAACTCCGAAAATATGGTTATCTTGCTGACTGTACGAACGGCCGGTTTCGAGTGAATCTCACGAAGTACGCGTTGTCTTTATTCACTTTTGCTTTATTTGTTAAATCTACTTTATGTATTTGATAATGTTGAAATATATAGCGGTGGTATTCGCAAAATAACAACAAGAAACTATACGCGTCGCAACCGTTGCTCGATCCCGAGTCGGTCCGTAGATTTCCACTAAGGATCGAAAAAAATAACCACCAAAACGCGTCAGTTTGATGCGCCAATTTCACGCGCCAATTCACGTGTCTCATGATACAAATCACTTAAATTAGAGGCGACATAAATCGTCCGGACATAATACAAGCGGATTTCAGATTTCTGTATGCGTGATACATTCAGCTCATGCGTTGTTAAACAAACAATTGCATTACGCATATATCGCGATCGTTCAAATTACTCAAGAATTCGATTCGGCAAATCCGCGTGTTAAGTCGAGTAAGTTACATATACATCACGAAAATCTCGCCGAAAACGTGACGCGAGATTTACAAATTTCGAGCTCTAGCTAATGAAAGGATTATCATTCGTAAACGTCGCGGCGAAACACTAACTTGCACTTTTCATTATCTGCTTACAAGTTTGAATCCCGCTTTCGAGCAAAATCGCGCCGGTGTTTGTCTCAACGAACGACCGCCGTCTCAAATAATTTACGAGTCGTTAATTGCGAAAATTGATCGATCACGCAAACCTACAATCACTTGGTTGTTCGTAGGAAATGATCGCGTCTTCCCTTCCTCCCGCGATCACGTCCCAAAAAGTAATGATACACCGACACTACGCACTACACTGAACTGATATTCCTAGAAAATGGCCGCGGCTTCCAAACGGCGCCAACACAGGCCGTGATTCAATGAAAAATAATTAATCCAAAAGAGAAGTTATATGAGCAAAGATAAAAAAATGCGTGAGCAAAATCGAAAATGCGTGATGTCGCAATACAAAAATTACTATAAGCGCAAGACACGTCCCATCCGCTCAACGACCCGAAGGCGACTCTGCCTACGCGCTACACTACAGCCCGTACGCTTGAACGACCATCGCGCGCTATGTAAACATAAACAAAGCGCGCCGCGCCGGCAAAATATCACAGTATACCACATATTTTACATATTACACTTGAAATGAATTATTCGATGAATATACATACATATGTATACATGTATTAAAAATATTATATGTAATATATAATATACACATTCCCTTGAATATGAAACACACACACACACACACACACACACACACACACACACACACACACACACACACACACACACACACACACATATATATATATACTATACTATAATTA